GGTGGGTGAGTGGGTGTGTGTGTGTGAGAGAGAGAGAGAGAGAGAGACGGAGAGGGGGGACTTGACTGATCGAGGATCAGATCTCAGATCTTGCAGAGAGGAGTCGTTTGCTGGAGGAATGGGAAGCAAACTGGTTGTGTTGGCGCTGGTGACCTTACTGGGGGCGTACTATGTGTACACACCGCTGCCGGACGCGATGGGCGAGAGGTGGAAGGTGATGGTGGTGGACGCCTGTTTCAGGAGCTTAGAACATCTGGTAGGTACAGAGCCCACCGACTGGACACTTGCCTGTAACCCAACGATACCCCCCAACCCACTGCCATCCTCTCCTCCACTGGGGCAAGAGCGGGGTTAACATCAAGCTGGCACTTTGTGTGTGTGTGTGTGTCTCTGTGTGTGTGTGTCTGTGTGTGTGTGTCTCTGTCTGTGTGTGTTGTGTGTGTGTCTGTGTGTGTGTGTCTGTGTGTGTGTGTGTGTCTCTGTGTGTGTGTCTCTGTGTGTGTGTGTGTCTCTGTCTGTGTGTGTGTGTCTGTGTGTGTGTGTGTCTCTCTGTGTGTGTGTGTCTGTGTGTGTGTGTGTGTGTCTGTGTGTGTGTGTGTCTCTCTCTCTCTCTCTCTGTCTGTTTGTGTGCGTGGGTCTGTGTCTGTATGTGTGTCTCTCTTTGTGTGTATCTGCGTGTGTATCTGTCTTCTGTGTATGTGTGTATCTGTGTGTGTGTGTGAGTATGTATCTGTGTGTGTGTGAGTATCTGTGTGTGTGTGAGTATCTCTGTGTGTGTGTGAGTATCTGTGTGTGTGAGTATCTGTGTGTGTGTGTGAGTAACTGTGTGTGTGTGTGTGAGTATCTGTGTGTGTGTGTGAGTATCTGTGTGTGTGTGTGAGTATCTGTGTGTGTGTGTGAGTATCTGTGTGTGTGTGTGAGTATCTGTGTGTGTGGGTATCTGTGTGTGTGTGTGTGAGTATCTGTGTGTGTGTGAGTATCTGTGTGTGTGTGTGTGAGTATCTGTGTGTGTGTGTCTGTGTGTGTGTGTGTGAGTATCTGTGTGTGTGTGTGTGTGTGAGTATCTGTGTGTGTGTGAGAGTATCTGTGTGTGTGTGAGTATCTGTGTGTGTGTGTGAGTATCTGTGTGTGTGTGAGTATCTGTGTGTGTGTGTGTGTGTGTGTGTGAGTATCTGTGTGTGTGTGTGTGAGTATCTGTGTGTGTTTGGTGTTGGGGACCGTGGAGAGAAGTGAATGCTAATTTATTTACATTGGGGACGAAATGAAAAGCCTTTTTCAGCTTGTACGTTTTTCGCTAGAATGCGCCTGGAAGCGTTCGTTAGTCGCAGTTCGTTTGTCAAGCCCTGTGACAGCTCCCCCTTTAAACACTGCTGTCTCAATATTTTGACGTGTGAGGCCAATTTTGTCTCAGAACAACCTGAACGACCAGGAGAAAGTTACATTAGTGTGTGTGTGGTGTCTTACACAATATGCTTCACTCATCAGGTTGTGCAGCACTGCCCAAACTAACCTAAAGCTTATTGTCTGCACATGAAATGGTTTGTATCTTTTCACTCTGATAGCTAAAGAATGCCTGTCCTCCTCTCAGATTATCGTGTCAGTAAATAAAGGAAAGACTTTGGTTCGGAGGAGCTTTAATCCTGGTGATTTTAATCTGATTAGAAGGAGAATGTGCTTATGTAATCAGAAACCGGGGGAAAGTTGTGGTGTTTGTTCACCGTGCTTTCTGAGATCAGAGTCCTGTAGCGTAGTGGTTAGCGCTCTCGTCTCGCAAGCGAGAGGACCCAGGTTCAATTCTCGGGAGGGATAATAATAATAATAATCCTTGCATTTGATATAGCGCTTTTCACGTCGGAAGGACGTCCCAAAGCGCTTCACAGAACACACTGTAAAGTGAATTGACTGTATATTTGTGGGCGAACGCAGCAGCCAATTGCGCACAGCAATGTCCCACAAACAGTCGTAGATTGAAAATGACCAATTTATTATTGTTTTTGGTTTTGGAGGGATTATTATTAGGTGTGTGGAGTAAGGAAACTTGTCCAAGGTTTCGCCCTCTGCCTGGAATTGAACTCAGGTCTCTCACTTGCAAAGCGAGTGCTCTAACCACTGAGCTACAGGACTCCACTTAAAGCAAGTTTCCTTGCTCCACAGCCCTCTGTGTCGGAACCCATTTGTTAGTCGATTGGAGGATCGCTTTCCGGGAGTAATAATCCCTCCCAAAGAAATAATAATAATATGGTGAATCAGTCCATGACTTTTAGTGGGACACTGTTGAGCGCAATTGGCTGCTGCGTTTTGCCCACAAAATATACAGTCAATTCACTTTACAGTATATCCTGTGAAGTGCTCTCAGACGTCTCAACGCTGTGATAAGGCTCTATATCCAATGCAAGGATTATTATTATTGGTAGTGCTGATGTGGGGAGATCGCTTTCTGTCTGAGAGATCGGGGAGGGGACGCTATGTCTCCTGGCAGGTTCTCAGCCCGGCTCAGTAGCACTCCCGTCTCCGAGTCCACAAATTGTGGGAAGTTGCTGTGTACAAATTGACTGCCGCATTTGCTTTAAAAAAAGTACACAGTCACTACGTTTTGCAATAAAATCCTGTGAAGCACTTTGAAGGGAAAGGTGCTTTACCAAAATGCGAAGGTTATGGTTTGGATGATTTAATAGTTACAGTTCTCTCTTGTTGAATGATACTGTGAGCGAGTGGGGCAAGTGAGCCACTGCTTCCCCCTGTCCAGCTGGTGGAATCTCTTCTGCTCGTTGGGATTTGGCCCGGTGATAGTAGTTAAGCTGGCCTGTGCTGTATTCTACGCTGTGCCAAGGGAAAGAAGAGTTAGATTTTGTTTCAACATACAGTGAACTCAACTCTGTCTTAACTTGTCACTACTGCTTAAGTCATCACGCTGGCAATAAGCCGACAGCATTTATTTATGTATTTATACATACGCCTAACTTGCTGCTCTAGATAACTCATCACTGAGCCCTTTCCCTCGGAGTGACGAATTATCAGGAGTTTACTGTAAAAAGTTTCCAAATGCAAAATAAGCGTGAGTTTAGTAACCATTTTGCTGCTGTTTTGCTGTGCGTCATATGAAGTGAATCGTTTTCAGCATAGTGCCTTTGTCCTCCCAATGCCCAGTGATTTACAACCTTCACTGTAGTATATAAATTTGGTCTGGGTGGTAAAGAATTAAAGCCTGCATTCTTGAGGGCGCAGCATGTTACAGGATAGCGAGTGTGCAGTAACTTCTCAGACCCCTTCCCTTCTTTCAGCAGATGGGACTGAGTGTTTATGTATCGTAATCAATAAAATATACACTGGAGAAATATAAAACCCACAACATATTGAGCTGTCTTAGCTTCAGTGTGAAGCAACAGAATTGACAGAGCTGTAATATTTATAACTGGAACGCACAGGGACAGCTGAGTGAAGGAAGTGTTGGTACTTATGAGGAAAGATTTGAGCTTCTAATAATATTAGTCCTTGCGTTTGCTACAGCGCTTTTTCATGTCATTGAGATATCTCAAAGAGCATTATAGAATATACTGTAAAGTGGAGTGACTGTGTTTTGTGGGTGAAACGGGGCAGTGAGTTAGCACAGCAGAGTCCCACAAACAGTCATGGAGTGAGTGACCGATTGGACTTGGGAGATTGTTGACCAGGAAACCTGGAGAGAGAAACTCCCTTAACTTTTCCAATAGTGCCATGAGATCCTTAACGTCCACCTGCACAGGCAGATGGGATCTCTGTTTGATGTCTTATCTGAAGGACAGCACTACTGAAAGTACAGCACTCTCACCCCCCCACCCTCTCCCCTTGTTCTTTTAGTAATTAGTGGTTACTAAATAGTAATGTGTTTCGTAACAACCAGCCTCTGGATACTGAGGAGAATGAGTTGTACCTGGCTCCCTCAGGCCTAGAGGAAGCACTGAGCTGTGAAATCGAGTTTTGGTCTGCCTGGAATGTTGTCAAACGGGCGTGTGAAAAACGAGCTAGGCTTTGCTCAGCCGGACGTGGACTAGATTTCCAGGAAAACATGAATTTGACAAAGGTTATAAAATTAGAAAGTGATCAATGATAAATATAAGGCAATCCTGGCATTTGATAGAATGCCTTATCGCATCGTCAAAAGGTCTCAAAGCACTTCACAGGATTTCTTATCAAATCCAGAGAGTGTATTTTGTGGGAAAGACGCAGCAGCCAATTTGCGCACAGCGACGTCCTGTAAGCAGCCATGGAGTGAGTGACCAATTTTATCTGGGGTTTGTTTGCGAGGATAACAACAACAACAAATTATATTGGTATAGCGCTTTACACGTCGGGAGGATGTCCCAAGGCAATGGGGAGTCAGGGATTTGGACCCGAGCTGGGGGTTGAGATCAGGAGGAGGGAGCGTAGGAGCAGGAGGTGGCCAAAAAGGCACGGTCTAAGAGGAGGGTCTTCAGATGTGCCTTGAAGGAGGCAAAGGAGGGAGCGAGGCGAAGAGACTGTGGGATGGAATCCCACCTGAAGCTCCCCCCCTTCCTTTTGATTCCACCTATGGTCTAAAAGGGTTAAATTATGAGTACATAAATGCAGTTGATGTATCATGCCTGTGCACTGCGGCCTCCCTCCCTCCCTTTTTCCCTCAGGCCACTGCTTCCAGGAACGCCGGGATCAATCAGACTCGCCTGACTCACAGTCCAGGCAACAGTCTAGCAAATCAGCAATGAAAAGAAGCCTTTTGATATTCATTAGGTTTTATATAGTTATATAGAGGGATAATACACGGAAACAGGCCATTTGTCCAACTAGTCCGTGCCCCTCCTATTGCTCTTTTCTCTTCATCCCTTCTCCTACACTCCTCTGTTCCCCTCTCCTATAGCCCTCTGTTCCCTTCTGCTACATCCCTCTATTCCTCTCCTACACCCCTCTATTCTATTCCTCTAATGTCTGCATCCAGTTTCCTCTTTAAATAGGTTGATGCTTCCTACTTCAAGCACAGCTTCCACATTCTCGCCATCCTCTGAATGAATTTCCTCCTAAACTCCTTACACAGTACATCAAATAATAATGATGATGATAATAATAATAATAATACTTGCATTTGATATAGCGCCTTAACACATCTTGGAGAATTCCCAAAGCACTTCACAGAATGCACTGTAAAGTGAATTGACTGTATATTTTGTGACCAAGGTTTTATATAAATTTAACAGTACTTCTCTACCTTTATTCCCTCTTGTTGTTCTCTGCTCCCTGGATATT